CGGTACGAGGAGAGGGGGAGGAGGAGGAGGAGGAAGAGGAGGGAGAGGTTATAGATTGAGAGGGTGGGAGAGGGCGAGGGGAAAAAGGCCAGAAAGGCAAGCGGTTCCTAGAGAGGTGGAAGAGGGGGAAGAGGAGCAGAGAAGGGGGAGAGGAGAAGGAGAGGGAGAGGAGGAGGAGGAGAAGGAGAAGGAGAGGAGGAGGAGGAGGAGGAGGAGGAGGAGGAGGAGGAGGAGGAAGAGGAGAAGGACAAGGAGGAGAGGAGGAGGAGAGTAGGAGGAGGAAGAGGAGGAGAAGGACGACGAGGAGGAAGAGGAGGAGAAGAGGGCGATAGGGAGGGGATGGACTTCCACCGGGGCATCAGGACGGTCAGCATTATTTCCTCAGCGGTGGCTGCGGCAGTGCTTCTGGGAACAGACTATGGTGAAGGCAAAAACGTTTTCTCTGATGTAGGTCCCTTTCTTTTTTTTTGTGGGGGAGGGAGGGGGTGGGAGGGGAGGGATTGTACATAAATTTGGGCTTTTTTTTTTTTTTTTTAAATCAATTTGGACCCTTTGTCGATTTATGCGTGTCATCCTTGCACAGGGGCCGTGCTAATCTTCCTTCTCCCGGCCTCGACTCAGATTTTTTGTGCAATATATTGATTAATATATATACTCGTTTGTTGTCCTCTTCTCTCTCTCTGCCTACGGTTTACCGGGCAGTTCTATTTGTGACGATATATATTGTGACGATATATATATATATATTGACGATATATATATATATATATATGTGACGATATATATATATATATATAAATCAGAGCGAAGGCGGAAAAAAGCAAAACAAGGAAAGGAAAAGAAGGAAGGAAGGAAGGAAAGCCCCACCTGTTCATCACCTCTTACGTACAAGGCCAGCCACGTGGATGACAGGTTGCGAAGTGGCTGGCCCCATCCCCGTGTGTCACAAGGACCCACTTGCACGCAGACAAAAGGCAAATTCCTTCTCATACCTTTCTCGGCCATTTGGCTAAAAATAGATCAAGTGCAATGTATCTGTTCTGACCAGTTAAATGTCTGATCCGTGGTCTATCGGAGCACTAAAAAAAAAAAAAAAAAAAAGAACTTTGCACTAAAAGGAAAGCAAAAAAAAAAAACTTCCTCCGTATCGTTCCAATTTTAACGGGGATAAAAAAAATAATAATAAAATACAGGGGATGTCCCGGAGGACATTTGGGCTGTCATTTTCTTTTCGGGATTTGGATTTTTCCATAATAAAGTATGATTAGGTATCAATAACCTCAAGGAAACTTGGGGATTAAAAAAGTATTTTTTTTATCAATCATCTGGACCCTTTCTCGATCTGTGCACACGTGTCATCCTCGAATGCGCAGTGGTCAATAATTCTAGGTAATTAATATTTTTTTCCCCCTTAATTAATCAAGCTTCCTCCTCCCCCTCGCCCTCCCCTAATTACTCAAGGTTCCGTTCCCCCCCTTCCCCCTAATTAATCAAGGTCTCTTATACACATCTAGATGTGTATAAGAGACAGGTCGAAGGAGGAGGAGGAGGAGGAGGAGAGGGGGAGGAGGAGGAGGAGGAAGAGGAGGGAGAGGTTATAGATTGAGAGGGTGGGAGAGGGCGAGGGGAAA